CAGCAGCAGCAGCAGCAGCAGCAGCATTTTGAAGGTTTGTTGCGTTCAGGTGATGGTTTTGGCGGATGGGCAAATAGAAGAATTTGATTCTCCTCGAAAGTTGTTCCAGAAAAAAGAAAGTGCTTTTCGCTCGCTTTGCATCCAGGCCCAAGTTAAACCCCCTGGGTTTTAGGGTTTAGGGTTTAGGGTTTAGGCCCTAAACCCTAAACAGAGTTCTTGCTTTGGAGCAAGAGACAAAACGCAATTGACTTTTTAAACGATTTTCAGTTTTTTACTCTAATTTTTAATTTGTAATTTGTTTCGAACTTTAATTTCAAATTTATTTTAATTTTAATTTTAATTTTAGCTTTAATATTTACTTTGGAGTTTTCTTCTGGTCAGCTGTTAGCCATTTGGCTTTTATTTAATCAATTCCTTAATTAATTAATTAATTAATTAATTAATTAATTAATTATGTATTTACGTTTATTCAAATGAATAAAAAATCAAAAGTATATAAAACAAATAAATATAAAATTATGAATTAATTAATTAAAAGTTTTTGGAAACAAAGACGAGCAGTTCCTCGCCGATATGTAACAACAGCCTGTGGGGCCCCACACTGCTGCTGCTGCTGCTGCTGTTGCTGCTGCTGCTGCTGCGAGTTTGGGGTGTACATACACCGTCTGGCCAGTGGATGGGAAGTTGGAATTATTTATTTATTATTTTATTTTATTTTAATTTTTTTGCTGCTGAGAAACAGAAAGTTTGTAAATGGCAGTTTTGTCTTCAAAGGCACTTTTGCTGCCAAGCGAAGACAGCAGCAGCAAACCCTCGCGGCTCTCCACTTTTGCTGCTGCCTGCAGCAGCAAATAAATCAGTTCAATTCTCTTTTATTATTTATTATTTATTATTAATTAATTAATTAATTAATTAATTTGTTTATTTATTTGTGAAACAAAAGGGGAGGAGTAAAATGAAATAAAATAACATAAGGAGAGGAAGCAGGAGACATAAAAAGGCATTTTAAATAAAAATAAAAATAGAAAGGGAGACAAAGAGAGAAGCAGAAAGAGATAAATTGAAGGCAGCAGCAGCAGCAGCAGCAGAATAAAGGGATTGACACAGCTAAAGCAGCAGCGAAACTTATGGGAGCATCAGCAGCAGGAGGCAGCAGCAGCAGCAGCAGCAACAGCAGCAGCTGCTGCAGCAGCAGCAGCAATAGACGCACCGTGTAGACCTCTCCCTGGTGCAGCAGCACTCCGGAAACGAGGGGCTTTCCGTTAACTTCCAAGTGCAGCGCAGCAGCAGCAGGAGCTGCAGCAGCAGCAGCAGGTGCAGCAGCAGCAGCAGCAGCAAATTCAAAAGGAAGCCCCAGCAGCACTTCCACGCTGTAAGTCCCGGGGGAAGGAAGTTTCAGAGACCAAAAGTTTGGAAGACATTCCTGAAAAGAAATTAAAAATAAAAATAATAAAAATAAACATTTTAAAAACCCCTTAATTAATAATTGAAAATGGGGATCTTTAGAAGGCAGTGCACGCTTTCAAATGCACCATTTATATTTCAGCAGCAGTAGCAGCGGCAGCAGCAGCAGCAGCAGCAGTAGCAGCGGCAGCAGCAGCAGCAGCAGCGGCAGCAGCAGCGGAAGCAGCAGCAGCAGGAGCTTGAGGCTTACGGCTCCGACGCTGCAGCCGGCGTTTGCAGGTGAAGGAAAGACGACGCCGGTGGTTGGTGCTGCTGCTGCTGCTTCTGCTGCTGCTTCTGCTGCTTTTGCTGCTGCTGCTTCTGCTGCTCCTGTTGCTTCTGCTGCTGTTGCTGCTGCTGCTGCTTCTGCTGCCGCTGCAGACCTTGTGACAGCCGCAGGCCGCTGCCACCCTAAGAGGAAAGTAAAGGTGATTTTCCTTTTAATTTAATTTAATTAATTCAATTTAATTAATTTAATTGATTAAATTTAATTAATTAAATTAATTTAAATTAGATTAATTTAATTCAATTTATTCTTACCATACTCGAAGCCGTTTTTGCTGCTGCGGACTCCACCGTCGTCAGCGAGAAAGCCCTGTGGGAAGCAGAAATTAAATAAAAGAATTAATTTCAAATTAATAAGTTTATTTATTTTTATTTTAAATTTTAAAATTTAAAATCAATTTGTAGATTAAAAAGTCTTTTAGACATTCTTTGGCCTTCTAAGGGACCTCTTTGACTTCCAACAGGCCCAAATGCAAAATTTCCAAGTGCTGCCAGCAGCAGCAAGCAGCAGCAGCAGCAGCAGCAGCAAGCAGCAGCAAGCGGCAGCAGCAGCAACAAGCAGCAGCAAACTGCAGCAAGCCGCATCAATCAGCAGCGAACTGCAACAAGCCCGCAGAAATCAGCAGCAAACTGCAGCACGCCGCAGCCAACAGCAGCAATCAGCAGCAGCAGCAGCAGCAGCAGCAGCAGGGCAGCAAGGCTACCTGCGGGGCCTTCGAAGTCCCGAAGAGGAAGCTGAGGGAAAACTCGGCGGCCTCCTTTGGGGGCCCACAGGGGCCCCTGGAAAGAGAAAAGGAAAAGTCGGAGGGGCCCTGAGCAGCAGCAGCAAGACCGTTTCGAAAGCCCTTTTGAAACTGGGTCTTCGGGCCCCCGACCGAGACCCGGAAGCTGCACTCCTCCTCCGCTGCTGCTGCTGCTGCTGCTGCTGCAGAGGCGGGGGGGCCCTTGCAGACTCCCGAGAAAACGGCAGCAGCACAAAGAGAAGAAGAGGGGGAAAATACAAAAGACCCAAAAAGGGGGCCCCCGGGGGCCCCCAGGCAGCGGGGGGGGCAGACGGCGACGAACTGGAGGCCCTCTTCGACGGGGGCGATTTCGGGGAGAGTTTCGAGGTTTTGATCGCATTTCTGAATTAAATTGAATTAAATTCAATTGATTTTGAATAGTTAATGCGTTTAAATTCAAATTCGAGAGAATTTTCCCCAGACTTGCCTCCAGCAGCACCCGACGCTCTGCAACAGCAGCTTGCTGCTGCCGCCACGCAGGTGTACAGACACTCCCCAGGAATTCAAAAGAGCCTCCGCTGTCCATTCCGTTTACAAAAGTTTCCGAAATTTCGGCTTTTACCTGAACCAACAAGTCGAAAAAGAAGAACAAATAAGTGCCTGGAGCCCCAGTTCCCCGTGGACCACTGGTCACCCAGCAGCAGCAGCAGCAGCAGCAGCAGCAGCAGCAGCAGCAGCAGTGGCAGCAGCAGCAGGAGCCGCAGCGCACGTATTGGGTTGTCACTGGCTCCCGGAGCTTGTGGGTGTTCTTCTCGAGGGAATTTGAATGGAACATTGCGAAGGTCTCCGTCTCCTCGTCTCCGTCTTCTGAAGCAGCATTTAATTGCATTTTCCCGCTGCTGCTGCTGCTGCTGCAGCAGCAGCAGCAGCAAATGAGGCCTCATTTGCCCACCTGTGAAAGACAAAGTTATCTTCGAGGGCCACAGCAGCTGGTCGTCCAGCGGCTTGAAGCGAAACTGAGTTCTGCAGCAAGAGAAATAAAAACGAATTCAATTCAATTCAATTTAATTAATTAATTTAATTTAATTAACTTAATTAATTAATTTAATTGATTTAGTTTAATCAATTAGATTTAATTAATTATTCATAATTTGAATTTCTCACATTTGCACAAGTTGGCGGAAGCGCACGATGATGGCCTCTCCGGCGCCTGCAGCCATCGGGAGGTCCAAAAGGAGAAAAACAAAAACGAATAAAAGGAAAAGGCGAATTTAAATGAATTAAATGAATTAATTCGATTAAATCTGGCCGAATTAAGGCAATTAAATGCATTAAATCCGTTTAATTCTTTTAATTCTTTTGACTTCTTGCCAGGCCCCCGCGTCTTCCACGCCCCGAAGCTCCTGTCCAGGTGCTGGCCGTTGAGGCCCGCGCGGCAGTCGAAGCCTCCGGGGCGCTCCGAAGTGGCTTCGCAGTTGGCGAACGCGGGGCCTCCGGGCAGCGAAAGAAGGACTTCTTCGGCGTCTTTTTGGGAAAAAGCGGAAAACAAAAGGGGAAAAGAATTAGTTTCATTAAATTCGTTTAATTTGCGAAAAAAAGAACCCTTTAGCTCGAAAAATGGCGGAAAACGGCCCCAGTTCAACAAGTTCAACTCACCGCAAGACAGCGCCTCCCCGCGCCGCGGCTCCGCGAAAAAAAGAAAAGGAACTGCAGTTTTGGAAAGTTTGAATTTAATTTCCTCCGAAGCTTTAAATGAAATAAATCGAATTTGCATTTTCGTGGCCTCGAGGGCCCTCCCGCTGGCGTCTTCTCCGGAGAGCAGCGTGAGGCTTTCGCGGGTGTCGTGGGCCCTCCAGGGGGGCCCTTCCGCTGCTGCTTCCAGCGGCAGCAGCTCTTCTTTCGGAGAAGCAACAAATAAAAGTGAAGGGCCATTTAGTTCGAAAGAGAAGCCCGACATGTTGGGCTGGTGTAGCGACAGCAGCAGCCGCCGGCCCAGGAAGCGCAGCGGCACGTCCGCCAGGAAGTGGTCTTTGTTGTCTAGAAACGGCTGCACTCCGTCGCGCAGAAAGCCAGTTTCGAAGAGTTTCGGGTCCAGCCTGTCGAAATTAATTTCGGAAACGAAGTTGATTTGAAAAAAGATCTCTTTTGGTGCCACTTCTGCGCGAAAAGCCCCGCAAACGCCCGCGGACTCACCCCGAGAACTTCGTCGTCGGCGCCGCGTTCGTTGAAAAGAAGAACTTCTCGGGAATCACCTCCGACTCCTTCGCGCCGCTCCTCCACAGGAGTCTGTTTGAAGAGTTTGCAAATTAAAATTGAATTTAAATTCGAAAAAGAGAAGTGCGGCCAAGTCCGAGAAGCTGCAGCGCGCTTGCCTCAGAACCCCCGTGTCCGGGTGGCTGTATTTCAAGTGGCTGGAGTGCACCAGCTCCAGCCGGATTCTGTACTTCTCGCCGGCGACGAGTTCCGTTTTTTTGGATTCCGTTTTTTTAATTTTGGAAACTTCTTCGGGAGAAACGAGAGGAACGGAGTTGAAGGCGAAAGCCTCTTCTTCCGTCGGCTGCGGCATGCGGTCCACGATGACTGCGTGTTCGTTCAGGAACACCCGCACTCCGCAGTCGCTTTCTGTTTCGATTTCAAACCCGTTCGACGGTTCAAACGGCGAATAAACAATTTCAAACGCAATTGCAAATTGAATTAATTCAAACAAAACGCAAAACGAAACCCACCCGTCGTGAACACGAACGGCCCGCTGTGGGGCGCCAACAGAAACCCGTCCCACCCTGCCGCAGGTCGCGCAGAAAACATGAACGGAGTGCAACAAGTGGCATTTATTAAGGTGAAACAACATGAAATGCACTTTTATTTTCGAATTAAACTCACGAATCGAATAAGAAAACGGAGGAACGCCCTCGATGGGCCCTTCTGCAAAAAACAGGAAATCAATCTTGCGGTCGTTTCGGTACGCCGCGGCCGGCGCGCGGAAGCGGTCGTTTGCAAAATAGGCTCCCCGGAGTCCATCTGGGAGCGGTTCGTCTTCATAGCTGCATCAAAATACAAAAAACGCAAAATTAAACCCTTTTGAAGATTAATTATTCCTTTTTTCGCGGCGAAACGCCCGAGATCGGCGCAGCACTTGCCCGGGCTGCACCAGACAGTTCTCCGGGCTGCGCAGCGCAGCCAAACCCTCCCGCTCTATTTCAACTTTCAAATCTTCAACTGCAGACTCTTGAAGTCCCAATTCTTGCAAAGAGTCTTCGAGTCTTTCCAGGCACTCCATTCCCCGCCGCAGCCGGCTCTCCACGTGACCAGTGGTCTTCTTCACTGCGGCGTGGCCCGCCCCGCATGCAGTCTTAAACCTGAACCAAACACACTCCGTGTTTCCACGCCCAGCGTCTAGGGTTTAGGGTTTAGGGTTTGGAGGGAGGGCTCGAATGGGCTCTGCTGTGAGCCAGGATTTAGGATTTAGGGTTTAGGGTTTAGGGTTTACCGGCTGAACATGTCCTGCAGCCTTCTCTCCTCGAGATCGAGGGCCTCGATCTATTTGAAAAAGAGGAAAAACAAAATTAAAGACAAAATCAAACAAAAAGAAATTGAATATAAGAAAATTAGACCAAAGAAATTAAATAAAAGAATTAAATGAAAGAAATTAAAAAAAGAAATTAAAAAGAAGTTAAAATGAAAAAAATAAAAATTTCAAATTCACCATTTGTTCGTTCGCGGCGAAAACGGCGTCGAATTCTTTCCTGACGAAAGCGCGCAGCGCATCTGCACCAAATCGAAGATATTTTTTTCAAATAAAACAAATTGAATTAAATATTAAACAAATTGAATTAAAGAATGAAATTAAATCAAATTAATTAATTGAACTAATTAAATTCATTGAATTAATCGGCTTCGTTTGCCCCTGGGGCTCACTGTAGTCCAGCGGGGCCGCGCAGAAGGCCCAGTCGCGGGGCCCCTTGCCCAACAGCTGCACCTCCAGGTAACACCACTGGCGGCCTTTTGAAGATGAAATAAAAGTGAATTAAATTTGAGAAGCAAAAGTACCTGAAGAGCCTTCAGGGGACCGGGTGTCTGTACAGTCCGTGAAGGTCTGCCCCTCGTGCACAAAAGCTGCTGCGCAAAGTCTCCCGTCGACTGTTTTCCGGTGCCGCGAGCGAAACTCCGTCAGCTGCTGCAGCAGCGCGCCCCCCTGCGCGCCTCCTGCTGCTGCTGCTGCTGGGGCTGCTGCTGCTGCTGCAGGGCCTGATGCTGCTCCTGGGGCTGCTCCTGGGGCTGCTGCTGCGCCGCCGGCGCCCGGCGCCGCCAAGCCCGGGGGCGCTCCGGCAGCTGCGCCTTCGGCGCCTGCTGGAGGCGCATCGGCAGCCACGGGAGCTGCAGCAGCAGCAGCGGCAGCAGCAGCAGGATCCGTCACTTCGGGGGCCCCGGGAGGGCTTCTGTCGGCTGCAAGAGGCGCAGCTTGCTGCGCATTGGGAACAGCTGCTGGAGGCCCAGAAGCAGCAGCAGCAGGAGCTCCTGGGTAGTCCTGTGGAAAAGCAAAAGACCCCGGAGGGCTGGGGGGGGGCTGGGCGGCGCCCAGAGAGGCAGTCAGTGCAAGAAAGAGGAAAGTGGCTTTCAGAAGGTGGCGAGCAGCTTCTGTCATGCTGCCTCCGACTTTGCAAGGAAACAAAAAGAATAAATACTTTTATATTAATTCAAAGTTCTCAAATTTGAAGAAATTCAAACAGGAAAGCCCCAGCGCGAAAAGTCCTTTCAGCTTTCCTCCGGGGGTCGCAGTCCTGCACGCCCGGGCTGTCTATACACCCCAAACGTGAATGGCTTCTTCACGAACTACGCTTCAGCCAATTTCTTCAAATTGAATAAATTTAATTTAATTTAATTTAATTTAATTTAATTTAATTTAATTAAATAATTAAATTGCTTTTAGCTTCTTTTTTGCGACAAATTTGCTTCTGCCTTTGCAGAAAACTCTGTTTCTTTCCGTCTAAAGGCGCAGGGCGCAGTTTCAACTCAAATTCACGTCTTTATTCAATCTTTTGAATTTTTTGAATTAAAATTTTCACTTTTGTTCGAAATCTGAAGAAGTACTTAAGGACAATTTTGCAGTTGTCGATTAGAGTTCAAATTCAATTCAAGTTCAGCAGCTGCAGCGGCCTTTGCAGCTTTTGCTGCTATCTTGTCGAATCTGCAGCAGATCTCAAAGTTCTTTATTTAATTCTTTTGCCTATGGAGTTCGAAAAGAATCTTTTAAAGAGATAAAGGAGAAGCAGCAAAAGGAACTGCACTGCCAGAGAGGAAATGGCGACACTGCAGCAGCAGCAGCAGCAACAGCAGCACAGCAGCAGTTGCAGCGCTGCAGCAGCAGAAGAAGAATAGCAGCAGCACATCGACACTGGCCGTGGAGCGCCGCAGCAGGCGCTGCTGTTGTTTGCTGCTGCAGCAGGGGCTCCTGCAGCAGCGGGACTTAGCGTGAACATAATTTGACTTGCAATTTAAAAGTTCATTTTTAAATACAATTAAAAAGAATAAACATTTGTTTGTTTTTTCTTTTTGTAATGAGACAAAGGGCGAAAGAATGAAACCTTGCTGCTGCCGGAAATTCAAGTTTTGCAGACCGGAGCCAGACAAAGTAGAAAAGCCCAAGTTGAGCAGAAGTGAGTTGAAAATACTTAAATGCAATTTATTTAATTAAAATAAATTAAAATAAACGAAAATAAATCAAAATAAAGCTTAAAATAATGAAAAGAAATTTCCCCCGGCTCCCCGGATCCGTTCATGTTCATTTGCAGCGAAGAACGCCGCGGGCGAAGGGCCCAGCGGGGCCTGGCTGTGGAGCATCTGCAGGTTTTATGGTTTCAAACGAAAGTAAATAAATTACATTAAAAATTGAATTTAGTTTTTATATTTTCTGCAGAGTTTAGAACGCAGAAAGCGGCGCGGGGCCGCCGTTTCGTTCCGGCGGAGGGCACCGCAGCCCAAGTGACCCGGCTTTCCCGAGTGGAAGCACCAGCAAATTCGGTTATTTTCGCGTTCAAAAGGACTTAAATGCATTACTTTCTTCAAATAAAGCTTTTTAGCGAACAAATTCGCAGTTTGGAGCAGCAGCAGCAGCCGCAGCTTCCCGCAGGCTCCGGCGGCTGTGCTGCAGCAGTCGGCAGGGTGGGCTGGGGTGTACAGGCAGCTCGCAGGGCCGGCCGAGCCAGAGACCACCTTCTTGAAGCTTCAGAAGAAAAGAAAATGAAAAATAAAATTTGAAGATAATTTAAAGACAGATGCAGCGCCGAGAGCGTCAGCTGAGGCCATAGAAGCCGCCTGAGCCGCTTCGCGCTGCGTCTGTCCTGCCAGGGTCGGTTCAGCGAGCGATCGGCGGAAAGCTCCCCCGATCTGCAGTTAAAACCCTTAATTCAAAAGCATCAAATGCAAATAAATGCAAAAGAAAACTTTATTTGTCTTGAGAAGCGCAAAATCCGGGAAGATCGCGCCGTGTTCAAGTTCTGGCGGCGAGCCACGGACCGGGGCTTGTCTGTCGGTTTCGGGCGTTTAGGCTCTTGGGACTGCGCCTCTTCTCCAATGAATTAAGTGGCGTCTCCTTTTATTTTCCAAATATCTTTTGCAATTAATTAATTGGAAAATATCTTCAGAGAAGAGCTTCCCAGATACGACTTGCTTCTGCGTGCGCCGCCGACTTGCTGCGGTAAGTAGGAGGGCGCCGCTGCTGCCGCTGCTGCTGCTGCTGCTGCTGCTTCAGCCTTTCCTGCTCATTTTCCGAACTGCTGCAGCTCTTAACTTTTCAGATGTGATGTTCGCTCAAGGTTAGCCCTTTAAGGCCTCTTTCCAGCGGCGCTTCTCCCTGCTGCTGGTCCTGCTGCTGCTGCCGCAGCGGTTCAGTCCCGTGGGCTGGGAGTGTGTAGATTTGATTTTGCTTCTGTCTCTTTTCTTCTTCTGCTGCCTTCCCTGTTTGCCGCGAGCTGCTGCTGCAGTCGGCAGCAGGCAGCAGCAGCAGGAGCAGCAGCAGCGAGGGCCACTGGTCCACTCCCGCGCTCTCGGGGAGGACAGACACCTGACCTCCAAGCCAGCAGCAGCACACCACAGCAGCAGCAAACTAGCAGCTCTTTCAACTCAAACCGCAAATATAAGCGGCCCCTTTCGCACTAAACCCTAAACCCTAAACCCTAAACCCTAGTTAGTGGGCCTGCAGCACCGGAGGGGCAGGAGGGTCCCGGGCAGCACGCAGCAGCAGAGCAGCAAACTCGCGGCTCCCGACGCTGCAGGAACACTCAGCAGCAGCCGCAGCAGCAGAGGAGCAGCAGCAGCAGGGGAAAGTCGGAAGCAGCCTCCCAGAACCGCCGCAGCAGCAACTGCGGGACCAGCAGCAGCAGCAGCAGCAGCAGCTGCTGCTGAAGCAGCCGCTGCACTCCTTTGGCCTGGACTCTTGAGGCAGCAAAAAGAGGGCAATGGGAAGTCGGCCCCCGGCCGACGGCCTAGGCCCTGCAGCTGCGTGTGCGCCGCCTTCCAACAGCAGCAGCAGCAGCAGCAGCAGCGGCTGCTGCTGCAGCAGCAAGCTCCGGCGTGGCACTAAGAGCCGCAGGGATAAGGGAAGCTTCAGCTATGTGCGCACCGCAGATGAGACGCGAGTGGTGCTGCTGCAGTCTCTTGCTGCAGCAGCAACCAAAACCTCCCAGCACCTGCAGCAGCAGCAGGAACAGCAGCAGCAGCAGCAGCAGATGCACCGAAACTGCTGCCACAGTCACAGGAGCCCTGTGGCAGCAGCTGCAGCAGCAAGGAAACCAGTAGCAGCAGTAGCAGCAACAGCAACACCAGTAGCAGCAGCAAACGCCACAGTAGCAGCAGCAGCAGCAGCAGCAGAAGGAACAACGCAGCACAGACGCAGACACAGACTATCTCTCAGTGCCAGCAACAGCAGC